ACGATCTTCCGAACGAGCTACCGCCATACCGAACGCATCAACACGAGATCGTGGAGGAACCGGGTTCGAAGCCGACCTTCCGAGCACCATACCGGCTCAGCCCTACGGAGCTGACCGACATGAAGAAGCAGATCGAGTATCTCCTAGCCAAAGGACTCATCCGACCATCTACTTCGCCATACGGTGCCCCAGTACTCTTCACACCGAAACCGGACGGAAGCCTGCGCATGTGCATCGACTACCGAGCTCTTAACAAGCAGACCATCAAGAATAAATATCCGATACCGCGAATCGATGACCTGCTTGACCAGCTTCGGGGAGCTACGGTATTTTCCAAATTGGATCTGCGGTCCGGATACTGGCAGATACGGATGGCGGACAACTCCATCCACAAAACTGCTTTTCGAACTCGGTACGGATCGTACGAGTATTTGGTCATGCCGTTCGGACTCACCAACGCGCCGGCAACGTTCCAAGCCGAAATGAACCACATTCTACGACCACTTCTGGACGAATGCGTGGTGGTGTACCTGGACGACATACTCATCTACTCGCGCGACATGAAGCAGCACGTCGAACACCTGCGACGCGTCTTCGAAATTCTTCGACGAGAACGATTCTACGTCAAACTGTCCAAGAGCAAATTCGCCCTGGAGAAAGTCCAATTTCTAGGACACTTGGTGAGCGCCCAAGGAGTTCACGTCGACCCCAAGAAAATCGAAGCCGTACGTACGTGGAAGACACCCGAGAACGTGAAGGAGTTGCAGCAGTTCCTAGGCTTCGCTAATTACTACAACAGGTTCGTGCCACAATATGCGAAACTCGCAGCACCACTCACGAATCTGCTGAAGAAGAACACGCCCTACAAATGGGAGACGAAGCACCAGGAAGCCGTGGAGCAGCTGAAACAAGCACTAACGTCCGCACCGGTGCTCATCTTGCCAGATCCCGAACGCGACTACGTAATCGAAGCTGACGCCAGCGACCAGGCAGTGGGAGCAGTCTTAATGCAAGACCAGGGGAATGGGCTGCAACCAATTGCCTACCTCAGCAAGAAACTGCACGGGGCAGAGCTCAACTACCCGATACACGACAAAGAGGCTCTTGCTATCGTCATCGCCTTCAAAGCGTGGAGATGCTATCTCGAAGGACGAAGAACGACCGTCTACACCGACCACTGCAGCCTGAAATATTTGAAGACACAACCCAACCTTTCCAGGCGGCAGGTCCGGTGGATCGACTTCCTCGAGACACACTTCCACTACGACATCGTGTACAAGCCCGGCCACAAGAACAAAGCAGACGCTCTCAGCCGGCCTGCACACGTTGCCGCGATTCAGGTCGAAGGGATGAATCCACTACTCAAGGGACTCTTCACCCACGGGTACGCCATCGACCCCGAAATTCCCTTGGCAGAAAAGCGACATCTGCTACAGTGGGACAGTGACATCGCGTACCGGAAGGGATCCACAAAAATCTGGGTACCCAATTACCCTCCTTTGCGCCAGTTACTACTCGAAGAATACCACGACGTCCTGTACGCCGGACACTTCGGTAGCAACAAGACGCTCACCGGTATCGCCAAACACTACTACTGGCCCCATATGGCAGACGACGTCCAGAAATTCGTCACCTCGTGTGATACATGTCAGCGGATGAAGAGCAGCAAGCAGAAAAAGGCGGGACTACTGCAGCCTCTTCCTGTCCCAGAACAACCATGGCAAGTGGTTAGCCTAGATTTCATCACCGGGTTACCACCTACCTCCAGCGGTCATGACGCCATCCTTGTCGTCATTGACAAGTTCTCCAAAATGGGACACTTCATCCCGACACACACGACGGCACGCACCGAGGAGACAGCACAGCTCTTCGTTCGTCACATCATCTCACAGCATGGCATCCCAACTACACTCATCTCTGACCGAGACCCCAAGTTCACTAGCAAGTTCTGGAAGGAACTTATGTCTCTGCTCGGCACCAAACTCGCCATGTCATCCGCATACCATCCGCAGACAGACGGACAGACCGAGCGCCTCAACCAAATTGTTGAGCAACTCCTCCGAGCAGCCTGCAAGGACGACATCTCCAAATGGGACTTGCACCTGCCCGTACTCGAGTTCGCTTACAACAATGCCACACATGCCGCTACTGGACAGACGCCGTTCTTCCTCTGCTACGGACGCCACCCACTTACACCACAAAAATCGACAGCATCACCTACAGTCCAACCCGCACATGATTTCATTACAACCATGCATCAACTTTGGGATCGGACCCATAAGCGCCTCCTTGACATTCAACAGCAACAGAAGCGCCAGGCCGATCGCCATCGCAACGACCACACCATTTCCGTGGGAGCCAAGGTTCTCCTTGACACCCGCAACCTGGACATCAGCCATCTCCCATCTAAACTGCGACCTCGCTTCTGCGGGCCTTTTCTCGTTGAAGCACAGGTCACTCCTGTTACCTTCCGCTTACGCCTGCCAGCTACCTGGAAGATTCACAACGCCTTCCACGTCCAACTTCTGAAGCCCTATCGGGACCCGAACACAATTTTCGTCGGACGCCAGCCGCCGCCGCCGCCGCCCGTCCTCGTCCAGAACGAACCCGAGTACGAGGTCGAGTCCGTGCTTGCACATCGTCGTCGTCGAAATTGGCACCGTGGAGCTTCTCATCCGTTGGAAGGGTTATGATCCTTCTGAGGACAGCTGGGTCTCTGAGTCCGACATGGGTAACGCCCGTCGTCCTCTGCATGACTACCTTGTCAAGCAGGGTGTTACTTCTACCACCCAGCTTTGAGGGGGGGAAGTGTGAGAGTACGACTCCGTTACACCACTTGGCCTTTTCCATATTTCATCTTCATTTCATTCCTCTTTTTATCTCACCTCCTTTTGCCTCATATTCCCCATTTTCCATTATCCTTTGGTTTCTTCCTTTATTATTATTATATCACCGACCAGGCATGGAATGTTCTAGACACGCTATCTAGCGTAATCCTGCCGTAATCTCTTAAAGCCAATAGCCTCGCGTGGCTATACGCAGGGTGATTCTATCTTCTAGAAGGGTCTATTCCCTTAGGATAAGATAAACCTGGTTACCTGATGTACTCTGGAAGTATAAAAGCGCCTTGTACTGATCGATAGTGCAACTTTTCCTCGACACATTCGATCCTGTGACAGCGGCAACCTCGGCGACGCGAAGCTAGGATATATGATGACAGTGTAGCTGCAAGATAACCCAATGGACTGGGAGGAGATGGTGTCAATCTGGCGCGGTGCGAAGAAGAGGCGGCATGCCAAGGAAGTAATGATGGAGCAGAGCGAGCGGTAGGCAAAACGACCAAAGAAGTCGGCAGCACTGAGAGCAGCCAAGACAGTAACTAAGGCAGCAGCAAAAGCAGTCAGGCGGGCAGAAGTTCTAGCCACAGCAAAAGCAGCCCGGGCCTTTGAAGAGGATGGTGGGGTTAGCCCTATTTGGAGGAGGAGAAGCAAGGATAAGAAGTGTCAAACATATCATTGTATGTTGTTATAGACTACATAAGGTTGTGCCTTAGAGAGTACAACCCACTAGGTTATATTCCCTTGTATGCCATGGTTCAAGTCATTAGTTCACTTTGATAAGAAGATCCAGGCCTCAGAGTCCGAGATGGATGAAGACATTGAGGAGGCAGACAGTTGTGCCTCAGAGTAGAATGGCGGCATGGCATGGCACCACATCGAGCGTCTAGTGTAGCTACTACCACCGTTAATTTCTAATGTTGTGTAAGGTGCAGCACCAGTAGCAGCAACACTAATAGCAGTAGTTATCGTAGAAATTGTGTAGATGACATGTATCATTTGAATGTAGCACTGAAGCATAGTACATAAATTTCATTCGAAATGGTAGACCAACTCTCAAGTTTCGGATGAAATGGCAGACAACTCGAATTTTTTCATATGATGGTCAGACCAAACTTTAACCCCGTCTGATTCTCAGACATGCCAAAATCATAGATGAAACCATGATCCTTAGCGTTCATCCAAATGCGGTTGAGTGAGGTGCCTTGCGTTTCGGAAGGATCAAACAAATCCATAAAACGGTTCGGTTCGGTTCGGTTCGTCCTAAGATCTCCATTCGGTTTAAATTTAGAGTGCTTTAATGTGAGATAAGCATAGAGTAGTGCATCTGATTGAAACCAAATATTGAAGGAAATAAATGACGTTTAAGTAGCTAGCGAATGATATTTAGACTGCTTAATCGATTGTAATATATATCTCAGGCAAGGCATTAGCGGATTTTATCCATTGACTTGCGTGGGAAAAACAATTTCCACGTAGGCATGACGGAATGTAGAGCACTGCTTCTGTTGTCTCTACTTTACAGCCTGCCTTTGGTCGCCACGAAAGCATGTCCTGGAGTTTTACAGGATGGAATTCTGCCAGCTCCTCAACTCCATCGTGGCGCTACAGAAGTCAACCTGTTGGGTGAAATGACGTTACAGGACGAGGTATGACGTGGATTGTCGAGTCGAGACGCGCATCTCGAACCGCGCTGCACCTCTACTTTCGAGAGGGACAGACCGCCCTCGACATTTCCTGGTACACAGACATTCAACATGTGCCGTGAAAGTTATCTCACTGGATCGTACGTTATCTCACTTGTATTTAAATGTACCGTGCTAGACCAGGCGGCACCAGAAACGGATAACCAATTTTGCACCTGCCACATGCCCTCATGCCCAATCAACATGCATTTTGCTGCCCCCTCCTTTTCCACAGCTGGCCACCAGTTACCAGTACTGTACCCACTCCACTACCGTTAGGTTTCGTGGTTCTCGTCACCAAGCCAACACCAACTAGTCGCCCCTCGCAGCAGCGACGTGCGTGCATGCACACATGCTTTGGTAAACCCACCACCACCATACCATACATGCTTTCCTGCTTCATGCCTGGCGAACAAGCAACCAGCGCACCTCCGCAGCTTCACGTTCCCTTGTGACTCATGCTCCGAGGATGTCTCAGACGCTAGTACCCGCACGCGAGCTGCACCTGCAGACGCCTCGCGCGCATTCCAAATGCCTTTCGTGTCTGCCCTCCCAGTCGACTGGTTTTTCCCCCTTCCCCATATTAGCCTCGCGCAATCGCGTCCGGCGACGAGTCTGTACTAGGCTAGTAGCAGTTCTTAGCACTCGTTATTCCCCACGTCGCGTCCTCCCCAGCCACGCCGCACCTCGTGCGAGATTGAGCGCGACAGTAGCTGACCCGCTACCGCTTCTCGTGCCACCTCATCGCAAAACGTCGAGCGAACAAGCGGGCTCCAACTGTCGCGCAATTGTATCCTCGTTTCCTACAGCGTCGCGAAATCCGAGCTCCATTTCTCGACACGAGATCAGGGCAAACTCGAACGTTCCGCAACTGCTATTGCGCCGAGTATCCCCACGCGCTGAATATTGCGCGGTTATTCGTCGGATGCGCCGCCAGCAAAACATGGGCCTTCCTCGTAACCCATCTGTTTCCCCAACCTCGCCGTTTTCGCTCCCTCCAATAGCTTTCTTCCTTGCGGCTCTCCTTCCCCTCTCCCTCGTCTCCTTTTCCCATGCTCGTAGCATCCCGCGTCTTCCTATTTATTCCCCTCCGGCGCAAACTCCTCCCGGTTTCCACGCGATACAAGACTTCGTCACAAGCGCCGCTGCCACTACAGTCACCGAAGACGGTAGACCTGTCGGCCGGAGATCCAAAGCCGCTAGATTTGACGAGCCGACTGAAGCTGACGCTGAGTTCGAGTCAACGAAGCCTCCTGCGATTAACGACAAGCCGTTAATCGGTATTCTGTCGCAGCCGGGTGACGGCGATGGTGGCAGGGCGCCACGTGTCAACTCAAACCGCGCGGTTGACACGCCGTACGATGAGTCGGAATCGTACGGCGGGGCGGAAGTCGGGCGGCACAGGGCGGTTGACACGAACGTGTCGTACATCGCCGCGTCGTACGCGAAGTGGGTGGAGAGTGCGGGCGCGCGGCCCGTTCCGCTGCTGTACGATGAACCGGAGGAGATCCTTCGCGAGGTACGTTTGCGAATTCTGCGAAAATGGCATTTGTGAGGTTACTAACCGGTTACTAACCAGCCGCGAAATTAAGTGGTTGATGGGGAAGGGAGCCGATTTAATCCTGGCAATCATAAAAAATCTTCTTAATTCCCTCTTTTTCCCCTTTTGTTTCCCGATACTATCCCATCTCGTTATTAGAAATTCGACTCTATCAACGGTTTGCTGCTCCCTGGCGGCGGGACCGACCTGGTGCCCGGGCGCTTCATGTCTACAGTGCAGCTGTTGTTGAAGGTACAGTAAATAGAAGATTAGCAAATGCTTGCACCTGCATTGAAATATTCCCTCTCCTGCCCCTCGCCGTGCTGACCCCTCCTTCCATCCCTTCTCGCGCTCCTCAACGCCTCGTGCAGTAGGCCAAGCAGGCCAACGACGATGTCTACCACTTCCTCTCACTGTCCCCCCCATTTCACCATCCCTCACTGTCTCCCCTCTCACTGTCTCCCCTATTTCTCCACCACTCACTGTCTCCCCCTTTTTTCCACCCGTCGCCGTCCCTTGCAGTGGGCCAAGGACGCCAACGACCGTGGGGACTTTTTCCCGGTCCAAGCGACGTGCATGGGGTTCGAAGCCATGGCGATCGCTGTTAGTGAGGTATGCTTTGTAGCGAGTCAGGCTAGAACCACGTGCAAGCCACGTGGAGCCACGTGCAAGCCACGAGCGTAGGGTTCGAATCCAGGGCTATCGTTATCTGCGAGGTATGCCTGTGACCCTCCTCCCTCCCCAACTTTCCCCCTCCCTCCCCCCCTTTCCCCCTCCCTCCCTCCCCCTTTTCCCCCTCCCCTCCCCCCCTTTCCCCCTTCCCTAACAAATGTGTTAATTTGTTCCTCCTCCCCCTCTCGCTCTCCGCCCCTCTCGCCCTCCTCCCCTCTCCGCGGGCTCCCTTCCCCCTCGAACACTCCATCTCAGGATTTCTATGTGCTCGAATGAAAGCGGTTCAGTGCGGTGGATTTGGCTCATCCCACCCACACCTGCTCTCCTCTCCCTCCCAATTCCCCCTTCCTCCTCCAACTCCCCCTCTTAGGATTTCGACGCGCTCGAAAGCGGTTCAGTGCGGTGGATTTGTCCTCTCCCACCTACACCTGCTCTCCCCTCCCTCCCTTTTCCCCCCTTCCTCCACCAACCCCCCCTTTTAGGATTTCAATGTGCTCGAATCGAAGCGGTTCAGTGCGGTAGATTCGGCCTGAGATGCCAATTTGCCCTCCAACACCCCTCCCCCCGCCTTCCCCCCCTGTCAGGATTTCAACATGCTCGATCCAAAGCGGTTCAGTGCGTTGGATATGGCCTCTCCCACCCACACCTGCTCTCCTCTGCCTCCCAATTTCTGCTTTTGAGGCGCCTCAAAAGCACCCTGCCTCCCAATTCCCCCTTCCTCCAACCCCCCCTTTTAGGATTTCAACGTGCTCGAACTAAAGCGGTTCAGTGCGTTGGATTTGGCCTCTCCGCTCAACTTTGTGGGCAACTGGGTGCACCACAGAAGCTACTTCTCCTGGTGAGCCTGCCTATATCGAGTACGGTTTAGGCAAGCAACTGGGTGCACCGCAAGAGCTACTTCTCCTGGTAGGGCTGCTTATGGCGAGTACGGTAAACCTACTGCTCTAGTGCCTTCGAGGTTCCTTCAAACAGGCAAGACAGGTACAAAAACGGCATTGCGGCTGGCTTGTTGCTTCTCTCCACTCCTCTCCTCTATTCTCCCCTCCTCCACCTCCGTATCCCCACCCCCCTATCCCCGGCACCCCACACACCCCTTCTCTCCCTCTCTCTCAGGATGTCTCCTGAGCTGGCGCTAAGGTCCAGGAGCTCCCTCTGACCATGGAGAACCATCAGGAGAACCATCAGGCGGTTGCTGTGTCACTCAAGCAACACGCCCTCCCGCCCTCTCCCGCCCATTCCCCCCCACCCTTTTCCCCTCCCCCCTCCCCCCTTCTTCCCTCTCCTCTTTTCCCCTCTCTCCCTCTCGCAGGATGTCTCCTGATCTGGCACAAAAGGTTCAAAAGCTCCCTTTGACCATGGAGAACCATCAGGCAAGTAACTTTTGAGCCGAGTCCACTCAAGAATCATCTTAAAACTCGTCTGATTAGTCATTTTGGGTCGACTCACAAGCTCCCTTTGACCATGGAGAACCATCAGGCAAGTAACTTTTGAGCCGAGTCCACTCAAGAATCATCTTAAAACTCGTCTGATTAGTCATTTTGGGTCGACTCACAAGCTCCCTTTGACCATGGAGAACCATCAGGCAAGTAACTTTTGAGCCGAGTCCACTCAAGAATCATCTTAAAACTCGTCTGATTAGTCATTTTGGGTCGACTCACAAGCTCCCTTTGACCATGGAGAACCATCAGGCAAGTAACTTTTGAGCCGAGTCCACTCAAGAATCATCTTAAAACTCGTCTGATTAGTCATTTTGGGTCGACTCACAAGCTCCCTTTGACCATGGAGAACCATCAGGCAGGTCACTTTTGAGCCGACTCAAGAATCATCTTAATTTTTTCTTGGGTTAACTCACAAGCTCCCTTCGACCATGGAAAACCATTAGGTAAGTGACCCACCGGCAGGTGGTAGGTGATCGAACCACCCCGTAGAGTCAACTTTTAGCTAAAACTAGTTGAAGTGACACAATGCTTTCTTCAGTTCGAATCCTTGATCTCCTTGCAAGATGCTCCCGTTGACCTTCAGGTGAGCCATCAGGTGAGCCATCAGGTGAGTTCTGGTACCCAGCCTGCCTCGTTGTTGTCTCTTCTGGTACCCAGCCTGTCTTGCTATTGTCTCTTCTGGTCTTGGCAGTTTTTTTTGCAGTTTTTTTTAGCATTTTCTGTCTGCTTTGGGGCGCATTTGGGTAGTCACTATGTGCAGTCTCAAGAAATTTGAGGCGACTAGATCTTCTCTTGAGGCGCGGGGGGGCAGTCCCCACGTGCTGTGCTGTCTCACACCGGCGCTAGTGACAATGGAGGCGTCTCTCTAGTAACCACCGGGGTCAAGAGCTCAATGGCCGTTTGCTTCCGGGTCGTTTCCCCTCACGTGCTATCTTTATCTTCATGCTGCTCCTTAAACTCCCCATTCCCGACGCTAGTCACAATGGAAGTGTCTCCTTAGAAGCTTCTCCATCCAAGAGCTCGTGGACTTTTCCTGACTGTAGATGTTTTCATAATATATATTCTTTCACGTATGTACACACACATACATGCCCTCGATTTTGCAGGGTGTTTTTGAGAATTCTCAAGAACGCCCTCCCCCCATCTCCTGACGGCACGACTGTGCATCGCTTTCTCTCCACCACCAGACTGAGGGAACGTTTTTCTCGTGCTCGCCCCTCCCCTCTTCTCCCCTCCCCACCCCTCCCCTCCCCCTTCTCTCCTCATTCCCCTTCCCCTCTAACCTGCCATCACTCCTCCCGTTCCCCTCCCCTCCTCCTGACATTGCAGGACGGCACGACGGTGCATCGCTTTTTGTCCACCTCACTGAGGGACTTCTTCTTCGTGCTCACTACCTCGTTTGACAAGAAAGGACTGGTATGCTGTACTCCCAGTCTGTCGACAATCAAGTAGGGCCTTTCGAGCTTACCGAACACCACTTGTGAATAGGCTCCACCGAGAACCACCAGCAGACTGAGCGACTTTTCCTTCGTTTGATTACCTCGTTTGACAAGAAGGGGGCTTGGTATGGCTTTCTGTGTTTTTCTTGTCTTAGTAATAATTTGAGGCACTTGCCAGTGCCATAAATATTCGTTCAGTGTACATATGTGTATATATCTCCAATTTTTTATGTCCCTGTGCATCTATGCATGACTGTAGGAGTATGTGACAACAGTGCAGGGAAAGCGCTACCCATTCTATGGCACGCAGTGGCATCCCGAGGTGAGTTGTGGGATGCTCAGGTGTAGGCGCGCGCGCACACACACGCACGCACGCATGCACACACACATGCACACACACATGCACACACGCACGCACACGCACACGCACTCACGCACACACATACACACACACATGCACACACGCACACACGCACACGCACGCACGCACGCACACACACACGCACACACACATGCAAGCACACACACACACGCACACACACATGCAAGCACACACACACATGCACGCACACGCACAAACACACACATGCACCCCCCCCCCCCCCCCCTCCCCCCCCGCACTCACCCACCCAACCACACACCCACACACCCCCGCCCCCCCCCACTACCCGCCCACCCACGCACAGAGCAGATGCTGTGGTGGCTGCCTGTAAAGTCCTCTTCCTCTCTCTCGTCCCCCCTCTTTCACACTCGCACACACACTGCAGAGGACCACAGAAGACCATGTGATAATAACCGTGTTTTGAGACGCCTCAACACACGAAGTCCTCTTCCTCTCTCTCTCTCTCTCTCTCGTCCCTCCTCCGTCACACTCGCACACACACCACAGAGGACCACCTGCTAGTGGAGGCTGCAGCACATGCCACATGCCACATGCCACATGCCACATGCCACATGCAACATACTGCGTTCCACATGCCACATAGTGCATACCACATGCCACATGCCACATACCACATACTGCATACCATATGCCACATGCTGCATGCCACATACCACACGCAGCAGTGGCTGTAGCTGCTGGTTCTCAATGATCGCCTCCCTTCCTGTGCTCTCTCTCTCTTTCTCGCTCCCTCCCTCAACAGAAGAACGCCTACGAGTGGGGCTTGGACCACATACCACATGCAGCAGATGCGGTGGCTGTAGGACAGGCTGCAGCCAACTTCTTCGTCAAGTGCGTTAATCATGCTCTCTTTAACAGCACCATTCCTTAAACTCACACGCACTCGAGCACAGCAGCCAAATCTTTTAGTCACTACACGCGCACTACAGACACTCCTATCGTGCAGCAGACACGGTGGCTGTAAGGGCGTTAATCATGCTCTCTTTAACAGCACCATCGCTTTAGCAGAACCATCTCTTACACTCCACGCACTACAGACTCGGCAGCCAGCTTTTCTAGTCACTGCACTCACATGCACTACATCACTCCATCTTTGAGTCGACTCAAAAATAGACTCACATGCACTACGGCTACGCCTCTTTAGTGCAGCATACACAGTGGTTGATCTCCTGACATGCGGTCATTTCCTACTTGCTAAACCGCCTTCCCAACTGCGCTCACTGGAAGTATGTCCGGAGATCCACCCACATGCACTACTGCCACTCCTCTATAGTGCAGCGGACCACAGCAGTGGCTGCAGGGCAGGCCACAGCCAACTGTTTGTACAAGTACGTTAAATCATGCTCTCTTTAACAGCACCGTCGCTTACACTCACACGCACTACGGCCACTCCTCTATAGTGCAGCAGACGCAGTGGTTGCAGGGCAGGCCACAGCAAACTGCTTTTCAACAAGTAAGCCAATCCAAGCATGCCCTCCTGAAAGTAGATCTGTCTGGAGACATCTTGCTTCCTGAAAGCATGCCTTCCCAAAACAAATCTACTTTTCTGTCGAGTAAGCCAAGCCATGCGTGCCCTCCTGACAGGACACCCCCTATCCTTCAATCCCGTCTAATCTCACACGCAATAAGGTGACTTTTGAGTCGATTCAAAAGCAAGCAATAAGTTGCCTTCTGAGTCAACTCAAAAGTCACCTAGTAAGCCAAGCCACGTGTACCCTCCTGACAGGACACCCCCTGCCCTTCAATCCCTCCTAATCTCACATGCAATACAGTCACCCCTCTACCACACAGTAGACGACTCACTCCTCCTGCACTCACACGCAATACAGTCACCCCTCTACCACACAGCAGACGCTGTGGCTGTAGGCCAGCCCACAGCAAACCTTCTTTACAAGTAAGCCAAGCACACGCTCATTACAGTGCCACTCGCTACACTGTTGCTTGTTACGGTATCGCTCGTTACAGTCCCACTCCTCTGCAGCAGCTCCTGTGACCCCTCCCCCTCTCCCTCTATTCTTCATTTCTCACTGCTTCGCTAGTCTAGACCTGACCAACTCCCCACCCCACCCCCCCCCTCCGCCCTCACTTCCCTCCCCGTTTATCTCCTTTACAGTGAGGCTCGTCGTAACACCCATCGACCGGCCTCAGAGGAGAGGATGAATGAGATTCTTCTGTACAACCACACTCCAGTGTTCGCTGGAAAGAATGGGTGAGTTACTTAACAAATAGCGAGATTAATGGGTGTAAAACCACAAATGGAGAACAACTCCTACAGTTTCACAGCGACAATTATTTGTTTCATGGAAAGTCAAGGGGAGATGCTTATGAAGCAAAGCTTCTTTAGCACCTATCGGTAAGTGTTTTGCTAATTCCTTCGTCATTTCTTGATTGACTTCTTGATGGAACGTGCAGGCATGGATTCTTTGAGCAATCGTATGTATTCAAGAGGGCTGCTGGCCCTAGCGATAATGTTGCCGTTGCTTGACCCCACTAGCTTTAGTATTTATTTTTCATCAAATATTGTCAAATTGTACATGTGTAGCTTTACCTGCATGCACGGAAGGAAAATTGGCATTTGTTTGCAGACCAATAATAATGGAAAGATGAGTGCTTGGGTTGCCATACTGGAGCACATCGGAGCGGAGCACACGTACCGGTATCACTATTGATAGTCACTATTGATGGTATGTATGTATATATATATATATATATATATATATCTATATGTCTTCTAGGCTAGATAGGTGTGTACTCTTAGAGAGTTCAACCCCTTACCACAAAAGGACCTTGTATCATACATTCTAGTCAATCATTCATACTTTGATATGGTATCAGGCTAGGTTAGGTCCCCCCCCCCGCCCACTTGCGCTTCCTCCTGAGGCCTAGTCCTAGCCACCCATACGCCCCGCTGGCCCCGTTAGCGCCCCACTGGCCACCTTAGCGCCCCGCTGGCCCCGATAGCGCCCCGCTAGCCACATCGCGCCCCACTAGCCCCGTGCGCCCCGCTGGCCCCATTTGCCCCGCTACCCCCGTTCGCGCCTCGCTGGCCCCGTTCACGTCCCGCTAGCCCGGTGCGCCCCGCTGGCCCCGTACGTCTCGCCAGCCCCGCGCCCGCTGGCCCCGTGTTTGCCGGCCCCGCGCTCGCTGGCCCCGCGCTCGGCAGGCCCTAGCTCACCCGCCGGCCCCCAGCGCCACTGGCCCCTGCCCCGCCGGCTACAGCCCGCACCGGCCCCGCGCCGTCCAGCCGCCGCGCCGCAGTACCGCCGAGCCGCTGTGTAGCTGTGCCGCCGTGTCGATGCGCCGCCGTAACGCTCTGCCGCCCCCGACCTACCGGCCTTGGCTCCCTTCTGAGCCGGCACATCTGCCGGCTGTCTCCACCGCTCTCCACCGCTCTCCACCGCAATCCACCGCACTCCACCGCACTCCACCGCTCTCCACCACACTCCACCGCACTCCACGCTCTCCCACGCTCTCCATCGCAATCCATTGCTCTCCACCGTCTCCACTGCTCTCCACCACTCTCCACCACTCTCAGCCGCCTTCATTCGCCTTTCCTTCTCTCCCTGTCAGCGGCAGTCAGCTGCTGCAGCCGGGGTGATGGCGGACTCTCTGCTCTGCCTGGAGGCGTGGCTCGTCGACCTGCGCCGGCACCTCACAGGTCAGCATCAGGACGGTCAATCCATGGCTGTTCATGTTGATGGTCTGCTTCCCCGCCCTACTGCGCCTCTTGCCCTTCCTGACACCCCCACCACTGCTGAGCGTGAGGTCTTTTCCGCTGCTGCACTTGCTCGCGCTGTCTGGGACTCGCGTAACGCAGTTGCGCAGCTTGCTATCACGTACGCACTTCCCCTGTCTGAGCATCCCCGCTATACCACTGTAGCAAACGCCAAAGAATTCTTAGATGCCGCCATCGCGCACTATTCCACCCCAGCCTCCGCCTCTGCTGGCCGCTTGATCCTCCCCATGCTGTTCCCTGATCTTGCGTCCTTCCCCACTGTCGACGATCTTGCCACTCACCTCCGCGCACTAGAGTCTAGCTACCGCGCCGCTAGCACCGAGGCTTAGCTTACTGCCTTTCCGCAACTGCTTTGCGCTACCCTTTACCTCATTGTCACGCGCCTTCTTGACCGCCTAGCCACTGCTCGCGACCACTTCCTTAGTCAGCACCCCGGTGACCTCACCCTCATCACCTTTGTCACTGGCCTGTCCGCGATAGAGGTACTATCGCTCAGTCTAGCGGTACTGCGCCGGTCCCTATCTTTCAGGGCTGTGCTCCCTCCCCGTGCACTTACTCTGACGTCTCTGCCGCTGTTGCTGAGACTGCCACTGCGGCCTCAGCGCAGCCTCGTCTGGGTAGGGGCCGCCGCCCCAAGGGGGGGCGTGGCGGAGGGAAGGGTGGTGGGGGTGGTGATGGTGGAGGAGGTGGGGGCGAGGAAGGTGGCTTCAACGAGGGGACCAGGGCTGGTGCCCCGGAGCAGCAGCAATCGCAACCTCAGCAACAGCAGCAGCAGCAGCACCAGCAGACTTAGCAGCAGCAACAGCTGCAGCAGCAGTCCTTTCGTCCTGGTGGAATTATCGGCTGACTCCAGGGGGCCCGCGGCTTTGGTTTCGCCACCTGTCTCCGACCCGGTGTCTCCTCTTCCACCACCGTAGCCGCAGCAGTTGCCGTCGTCGTCGCCGCAGCAGCAGCCGCCGTCGCCGCCGCAACAGCAGAAGCAGCCGTCGCCGAAGCCGCAACCGCTGTAGGGGTCCGCGCGTTATGGAGGTCCTGGCGTCGAGGAGGGTGCTAGTCCTTGATTTACTATCGTGGCTTGTCCCGGCGGTCTCGGGGGTGACACCGGTGCTGGAGAGGGTTCTGGTTCTGGGGGTGCTAGTCATGGGGTTTCTGTCGTGGCTCGTCCCGGCAGTCCTGGGGGTGGCACTGGTACTGGAGAGGTTTCTTATTCTGGGGTGCTGGAGTGGTGCTTTCCGGAGGTAGCCGTGGTGCAGCTGGAGGTTCTGGTGTCGGGGTGGAGCAACAGCAGCAGCAGTTGCCGACGATGTCCGCCCTTCGCCTCCTCGGTCTTCCCTCCCTTGACCGCCTGCTTGCGCCTCCCCCGGCGCCGCCTCCCCTGCTTGTCTACGCCCATGTGTTTCCTCCACTGGACTCGTCTTTGGCTCGTTTTCACCTCGTTCCCCTCTTGTGTCTCCTCCTCTGTCTCCTGATCTGACACCTCCGTCTCACGTCTGGTCTTGCCGTCCCTCCCGTGCTCGTTCAGTCTCTCCTGCTCAGCGCTCTCACCCTATGTTACTGCGTTCCCACGCGTCTCGTCCTCCCCTCCTCCCGTCGCCTCCTCCGTCGTCGTTTGTTGTCAATCCGCCTCCTCTATCTGAATTCTTTCATGCGCTAGTCCTCTTGTCCCTCGGGTCCTTGCCTCCCTTGTTACCGACCCGTCTGTTCCTGTCTCGATTCTTGACGTGCTTGTTGCTGCCGTCACTGAATTCGCCTCTACATGCCGCCTTGATTATGCCTGCGCTCTGGTCTCTGACCCTGCCCGTCCTCCGTCCGTCGGGGGTGCTCCTGCCCTTGGCACTAACGTCCTAGAGGACCGGCCGTACGAGTTTGCTTTCCTGTCCGAGGCCGCGCCTCATCTCTGCTTCATGCTGCTAGTCCCTGAGGAGGACCCAGACGCCTTTGACATCTCGACCCCTCGCACTTATGCGGAGGCGACCTCGGGACTCTGGGCCTCTACGTGGATAGCTGCCATGGACGCAGAGATGGCATCTTGGAGATCCACCGGCACCTACATCGACGCAGTTCCCCCACTTGGGGAGAACGTAGTCGATGGCCGGTGACTCTTCAAGGTGAAGCGCCCTCCTGGAGAGCCGTTTGCGTTCAAGGCGCGCTACATTGCTAAAGGCTTCAGACAGCGCGATGGTGCTGACTTCTTTCAGACCTTCCCCCCGACCCCGAAGATGACTACTCTTTGAGCGCTGTTACACGTAGCAGCACAGCGTGACTACGAGCTGCACTCTCTCGACTGCTCGACAGCGTTTCTTCAGGGCAGTCTGCTCAACCAGGTCTACCCGCGTCGGCCGCCAGGCTTCATCAGCACCTTCGCCTTTGGGACCCAGTAGCTCCTCCGGCGCCCGGTTTACGGTCTGCGGCAGGCGCCGTGCGAGTGTCACGACACGTTATGTGTGACGTTAGCTGACCTGCAGTTCTTCCCGTCGTCTACAGACCCCTCACTCTTCGTTCGTGCTGACCAGACCCCGTTCTACATCCTTGTCTACGCAGAGCACCTGGTCTTTGCTATTGCAGACAGAGACACACTGGCCTCCGTGAAGGCTGAGCTGTTGAGGAGATACATCTGCACTGACCTAGGAGAGTTGCGCCGTTGCCTGGGCATGCAAATCTCCAGGGCAGAGCAGCGCACACCATCACTCTCACACAGTCACACTTGGTGCGCTAGGTCCTTCAGAGGTTCGGTCTTCAGTTCTCCTCTGCACAGCCCACACCTCTGCCACTAGATCACTGGCTCTCGGCTCTAGTCCGTGAGGAGTCTGTAGAGCTTAGTGGTCCTTACGCAGCGCTAGTGTGTTATCTTATGTACCTGATTTCTTGCACTCGCCCAGATCTTGCATACCCTCTCAACATCCTGGCTCGCTTTGTGGCCACAGGCAGACACTGACCACAGTAGTGGTCGGCCGCTAAGAGGGTTTTGCGATTACATCGGACATGGGGCTAGTTCTAGGAGGACACGTGCAAGGGGTCCTTACAAGGCACACAAACGCATCGTGGGCAGACGACGCTGAGACTGTCACAGGATCGAATGTCCGAGGAAAGGTTTGCTCAATGTTGCACTATCAATCAATACAAGGTGCTTTTATACTTCCAAGATACATCAGGTAACCAGGTTTATCCTATCCAAAGGGAATAGACCCTTCTAGAAATAGAATCACCCTGCGTATAGCCACGCGAGGCTATTGGCTTTAAGGGATTACGGCAGGATTACGCTAGATATAGCGCGCCAGTACATCCCGAGCCTGGTCGGTGATATAATTATAATAACAGGATAAACCAAAGGATGATGGAAAAGGAGGAATAAGAAACCAAATGAGATGAGATAAAGACCAAATGAATCAGGAGTGAAAGAGGAATGAAACAGAAAGGAAATATGGAAAGGGGAAATTGGTGTAACGGGGTCGTACTCTCACAGAGACCCTCAGGTCCTCCTTAGGCTACTGCTTTAGCCTTGGTGCAGGCGCCGTCTCGTGGCGGTCCACCTGTTCGTCCTCTGTTGCCCAGTCTAGCTGTGAGGCTGAGATCTACGCCGGTGACATGGCGGCACAGGAGCTCCGCTGGCTGACTTTCTTGCTTACAGACTTAGGTGAGTGGCCTAGCTTTGCCCGAGTTCTGTACGCTGACAACAAGGCCATGATTCTCCTGTGTCAGGAGCCTCGACTGGAGGGCAGAGCAAAGCACATCCAGCTACGGTACTTCCTCCTGCGCGAGCTACAGCAGTGCCGCCAGGCCAGCGTAGTACACTTGGCTTCAGGTGCCAATACAACAGATATCTTTACAAAGGTGTTTGCGCCTATAGATCATCAGCGACACTGTGTACAGCTTGGTCTAGTTCCTGTAGCTTCACACTTGCTAAGATCTTGATTGTGTACTATATTTATATTATCATGACTGGCCTTGTGGCTCTTGTCCCTGTGGCTGGACTAGTAGTACCGCCCTGGGTTGCTCTTGTTTAGTTGGTACTCTTGCTGACTAGTCTTCGGACCCTTGCCTCAGGGGTTGGACTAGTAGTGCCACCCTGAGCTATGTGTCTCGTGCCAGGCACTGCCCCTCATATAGCCTAGGGGGTGTGTCAAAACATATACAGCGACGAAACAATTTGTCCACAAAATGGCACTGTTTAGCAAGTTCGTGATGTTTTGACAAGTAAAAATGAATTATTTGCTATATGGAGCATGTGGACATTATGCATGAACAACTGATGCACCTCCAGATATTACAAACTGTAGCCAATATCGAATTGCCAATAGCGAGTACAAGCTTTAAGGCTCGATGGTCAATGTGGACAATTACTACCCGAGTAGAGACTAGATCTGTTTCCGTCGAGCATTCTTTGCACAAGCTAGCAAAGTCGCTCAGACTTTCGCTAGTGCATGCCCCTTACCCCGTGATCCTCCAGTAACCACGCGACCGCCTACTTCGCATTAGAGATACCAGATCATGAGCCTTTGTCGCCAGGGTCTGAGTTTTCGACAGATCGCACGTACGCTAGGAATAGGGCAGAGAATCGAATAAAAAAACACTCTGAAGGCTAGTCACAGCAGTAGTCGTCTAGCCGCTAGGCCAAATGTCCATTCTTCAGGTTGACCGCGACTGCTCTCAGCGTGACACATGCGCACTTTCGTGCAAACCGTCCTATTAGGTGCCGCGTTGACAAGCATTGAGGTTGCATAACCACTAGAATCGAATCACGTTGTTAAGGTCCACCCTCACACTGTACGAAATGCCCTCAATGTGACTACGTTAGTCGCTGTACAGATATTGCGCAAGCCTCAACTATCAACGCGCAACATCCGCGACTATACAGAATTTCGCCAGAGCCCACCTAGACTGGACTCTGGACGAATGGAAGCGGATGATCAGGTCGAACGAAACTTAGATCACTCGATATAGCTCGGATAGCCACACCTTCGCATGGATTCACGAAGGTGCTGCTCTCCAGGGGCATCAGGTGAAGTAGACTGTGAAGCATGGAGGTGGGCCAGTCATGGTTTGAGTCTGTATAATGTCTGATGTGACTGGCTGCATGTGCAGGATTGATGGCCACAGAGATGGCCAACTCTATCACAGCGTATTGCAGGACGAGGTTGCTCAAACTCTTGATTTAAATGATTTGACCATCTCTGGCATGACGTTCCAGTACACTGTACGACCCCAAGCCCAAGTGCAGGATCATTCAGGAGTGGCTAGCTGAGCAAGCTTTCGCGGTCCTACAATGAACCTATTCCTCCCCCGACCCCAATCCCATCGAGCAGCTCGCCAAGTATGAGCAACCCCCCACATGCATGCTGCAAACTTGAGAGCAGGTGCACGAGGCATGGGACAGCATTGGGGCTAGTGTGTGCAAGACTCTGATAGACAGTATGCATAGGAGGATCACAGCAGGAAGTAGGGCTAAGGGGAGATGGACGCGGTATCGATATCGATAATTTCAAATGTCGCTCATTCCGGGAACATTCTGTCCGAGTGTACCGCTTGTGATCTTCGTTGTGCTATATTATGTTCTGGTGTGTTTTTTGGACAAAATGTCATTTGTCACACAAGCCTACAACACTGGCAACTAGAACCTTAAAACCAGGAAATATTATAGCTGATCATTTTCTCAAGGGCTCTGATTTTGTCCAGTTAATGGCCAACATGTGGAAAGATTGTTCCGTCGCTGTATATATATATATATATATATGTGTGTGTGTGTGTGTCTTATACGCTAGATAGGTGCTTACTCTTAGAGAGTACAAACGCTTAGCACAAAAGTACCTTGTATTACACATTCTAGTCAATCATTCATACTTTGATAGGTTGTTGTCTAACCTAAGGGCATATTCCAACAATATAAAAAAAAGGATCAGAAATGTGTGGTACAATGTGGTTCAAAATTCGCAATGTGCAATTAATTGCGGTTGGGTTTGGTGATACAAATTCGGAATCCACTATTTCCGGATCCAGCTGGGTTGTACCGGTAATAAGGTTGATTGAACACCAGACACGACGAATCAACGTATTGATGATGTATAAAACAAGACAGCGCCATCTTTATTTGCCTTGCACCGTGCACACAAGAGTGCACACCCAGCAGGCCAGGAACACATGCATGCACACATGCATGGTATGGTATATATCGGCGCTCTTGCCTCCTCCTCTAACCCCACACCACTCTTATTCAAGGGGGCCAGAAAGAAGCCTAATTACCAGCCAACCAGACAAATCTCCAACGCTCCTGATACCAGTAGCAGTGCTGCTCGAGGGGCTTCACTCAAGCGTTCTCAAGGGACCGTACTGTACCGTTCTTGAGGGACCAAATACCCCTACTCCAGTGCTTTCTTGACCCCGTTGGGTCGCACGTACATCACACTGTTACTGTTCCACAGCACGAACTCGAGCGCGTTATTAGCCGCCTCGGTAGGGTTATAGTCGTCCCACCACACGGATTTGCCAGGCTCATCACACACTGATGCGGTGTAGTTCTTCCCACCCTCCTCCACGGTCTGCCCGCAAGAAATCCTCTCGCCCTTGGGTGTTTTACCCTCGCAGCACGGCGTCAGCTTGCTGGTAAAAGCTGCAGGGGAAAGAGCAAGGGGCAAGAGAAGAGGAGGGGGGAGGGGGGGAGGTGGGGCGAGAGAGAGAGGGGACGATGAGATAAGAATTGGAGAGTATGGGGAGATGGAAGATGGGAGAGGGAGCTGTCTCTCTCGAGTGGGCTAGAGGGAGCTGAGGCCGGAGTAAGGTACACTGAGCATGCATAGCATACTGAGAAAGGTACAGTGCAGCAGATGCTTATATGGAGGATGGGTGGCTGCCTTACCGGATCCGTCCTTGAGCAGGAGATTCTCAAATCCGCCCGACATGCGGAACAGAATCAAATCCTTCACTCCCGCCGCCCGAATCTTGTCCAGCTTCATCGACAGCGCCTGGTTGTGATCCGCCGCGATCTGATTGGCCGGCTCGTAGCACCCAGCCGACTCGCTCACGAGGCCCTTAGCTAAGCGCACGGCGGGGATGCAGCCGAGGGGAGGCAGGTCGTAAACGACGAACTTAGTGGCGCGCGTGGTCTTGAATAGGGTCAAGACGGCGTCTGCAATGGCGTTGGTAGTGGAGGAGACGAGGTCCGAAGCTGCCTTGTCGCCTCCCTCCCCTAGAATTGCGTCGAGATAGTCGTTGGTGCCGACGCTGATAACGAAGACCGCTGTGTTGAAGCGCTGCGGTGAGACGAGGTGGGGTGGGGAGGGGAAGGAGAGGAAAGAGGAACGAAAGGACTCAGGAATGGCTATGGACGAACGAGCAGAAACGTTATGGGAAAGATGAAAGAGTGGGTAGTATCAGGAAAGGGTTAAAACAGGAGAGGGTAAGGGAAACAGACTCACCATTCCATGGCGGTCGGCAGCATACTGATTAAAGAACTCCAGCTGATGCTGAAGGCTCCACGTCTGCACACGTGGCATGGCAGACAGCAGCGAGGAGAGGGTGAGTGATGCTTGTGTGAAAAAGTGAGGTATTTAGGGGTGGAAAGAGTGAATGGAAAATGCATAGTGGTAGAAAGCACTGCACGTGCGCTCACCTTGTTGCTGTTGATCCACGGCTTGGTGCCCGCGCCTGCCGTGGCGAAGCTGGTTCCCTGCTTCGAGATGAGCGACTCCGTGAGGTACGGCATGAGGTAGTCGCTGCTGCCGATGTCGTCAGCTGGTGGATGGGAAGAGGGGGTAGGGGAGGGGGGGTGGTTTAGAATCTGAAAGTTCACCCGAACGTTCAGGGGTGCAGTCCCTTCGAGATGAGAGACTCCGTGGGGTACGGCATGAGGTAGTCGCTGCTGCCGATGTCGTCGGCTAGCGGAATGATAGGAGGGGAAAGAAGAGAAGAGACCGGACGAAGAGAGTTTTGAGTCGAGGCAAGTAGGTCGGAGCGCTTGAGGTGACCGAACCTTGGGAATGCCGCGCAGCTGCCAGCTGGAGGAGTGAAGTATACAGATGATGAAAGTCGGGCTTTGCTTCAGCTCATTTTTCGCCGTGCCCCCTGAATCTGCCAGCCCGCCAGCTCACCGAGTGACACATTTGGTGGCACGCGTGCGATCGTTGCGATTTTTGCGATCGTTGCGATCACTCACTGAGAAGGTCGATCGTGAGTTTCCCGTTGCAGAATCGGCCCTGCGCTTCTGCCGGGAAGTCGACTCCGTACGGATCCACATTCGCCTTCCAGCCGGCAGACTCGAGGCGGTTCGTCATCCCCGTGTCCAGGTACTGGTCGCCGAAAGCGAACACCTGCGGTTTGGACACCGTGCTCGTGCTTGTAGACGAGTTGCTTGTAGCGGAGGTGCTCGTCGTCTTAGCGTCGTCGACGGTGGACGACGCGCGGACGAGATGGATGGATAGAAGCGCGACGAGCACGAGCGTGATTGTAGCGAAGGACTTCGCCATTGCGACAGAACTTGACGTTTCCTTGCAACGAGAAGTTTCAAATGAGAGTTCACCCTACGAACTTAGGATATTCCCACAAATGCGCCCAGCGATCGAGAGTGGAGCAGAGCGAAGCAACGCCGCCTTCAACGCTAGATATTTCTAAGGGGAGTGCTCAATAAGATTGACTGGCGAGCAGTGAAAGCGTCGAATGTGTGTAGCTTGGCCGGTTGCGATGATAGAATACAAGCTCGGCTAGTGTTTTTATTAGGGAGGGGAGCAAGTGTTTGTCAAGTGAACTGTCGTCAAGGGGAGGTCGTCCCGTCCTCATGTGGGAAGGCTTGGTCGCGGCAATGTGGTCCTCATGGCAGGCGGGACGCGCGGGCCGAAATTCGAGGAGGGGAGGGCGCATTGGGAGGAGGGAAAGTAGGGGGAAGGGAAGGGAAAGCAGCGACTAGCTGTGAGTGAATCAAAATCGCCAGCTGCTGCAGATTCATTGAGAATTTGCTAGGCTAGACGCCATGGGCGGAGAGAGGGGGCAAATTTGGCTGGACGAGGGGGGAAGTGTGGGATGGGATGGGCCAAGCGGCTCGAGCCGAGGACATTCTCGAGGCGCAGATAATTGCGACGAAATCGATATGGTGAAGGTTTCGCGATAGGCAAGAACAAATTCTGATTGACCAATTTCTTGTCAGTCTTGCTCATTGCGAATGTCACTGGCTAACCAACTCAGCTCGAATGGGGCTGGCGAAGTTCGCTGAACTATGCAATTGTGAACGAAGCGCCCATGAGCTGTCCAGCTTTGCCGTGTGGCACGATTGCGCCCGGAAGGTGGTGGAGAAGCGTGGCTGGGTCCTGCCCGATGACGAAGATACCCGTATCAGAAGTAGCAAGTGTGTTTTACTGTACAAGTAAACATGTAATTGAGGTTCACCTCCAACATGCACGTGCTTGCTTACAACTACCTACAAGAGATTTCCCCAAAACACAAAGATTTCCACAACTTGAATTACAGCAGCAGCAAACTTTAAAGACATAAAGGTGGCAACCACACCTATCTTGAGTTGCTATATCACGAACTTCCATTTTTGGAAAACCGTACAACACTGTTCATTTTTCTCTCTACTATGTACAGCCGATCAAAGTGCAAAACCTGCAAAGAGCAAGGGGAAGGCAGCTCAAGATGAGTGAGCATTAGCAGCAACATACACATGGCTTGAGAAAGCTGGCCAGATTAAAAACCTTAGGTGATTGACGACGCAAGACACAAGTGGGGCTTGATTGAGATGCTAAGAGAACGCACCCATGCAGGTCGGCAGGACTGCTCATAAAGAGAGCGCGCTGACTGACAACAAGGAGGATAATCCAAGGCCTTTGACGATGGTGATCTCGAGCGTGGTGATCTTGGCAATGCTGTTGATGCTGCCGATGTGCTGGATGATGGTAAACTGCTGGCATGGGTATCGTTGCTGCTGCTGCTGCTGCCACTGGCAGCAGCTTCTGATGTACCTCTCCCGTCTGCTCCTGCTGCAGCCCCAGCTGGTTGGTCCCGAGCACCAGCAGGTGTTGCGATTGTTGCCTCTGCTGCTGCTGCTGGTGCTGCTGCTGCTGTCTCTACGCAAGCGTAGAATGCATCTCGTGCCTGGCGCAAGGGAGGGAAGGAGAGGCAACACAGAAGAACAGTGGGATTCTAGTAGAGCAGAAACACGTGTTGTTGCATCTGTGGCCGCTGCCGCTGCTGTTTTGACGCAAGCGTGCATCTCGTGCCTGGTGCACATGAGTGGATCATCACAAGGGGGCGGTGAGGGTCTAGAGCAGGAAAGGGTGTAGCGCCGCTAGGTGTACTGCACGACTCAGTGCGCACGTTTGCGGATGCATGACAATGTATGCACGACGGTGGATACGCGAGTGTGCATCAGCACACTGCTGCTGTATTCCGTACGTACGTGCGCCGTTGCTGACATCATGTGGATGAGAATGGAGACTAATTTGGGTCTCGTGAAAGAGGGAGGGCGTGGAGGTGGGTGAACCCAGAACAACGAGATGCGCCTTTCCTGAGATCACCTAGGAGTTTTGGGCATACCTACATTATGCGAACTTTTTAGAAATCACCTGCCAGTGTTAGGCGCCTCAACCAACAGATGTTTCGGGGTTGGCGTAAATTCTGACGCATTTACAAGAATGTTGCGGGCAAGGTCGACGCGCGGTCTGATGCACGAGGAGACACAGGGAAGCGCCGATTGCACGGGGGAGCGCCTATTGCGCGGGGTAGCGCCGGGTGCGCGCGAGGATGATAGCAACAGCAAACGGCATAGGGTCAGGGTTTAGGCGCTGATCAACTTGCCTTGTAGCACCGATCGCGCACTCAGGATCACAAATAAGTGAGCAGGGTTCGGGTTTCGGGTGTAGCTGATTGACTTACCTTGTAGCAGCGATCGCGCGCGGCGGATAGCACGTCCGTTGCAACAGACCCCGTCGCGAGCGACGGCGACGGGCCAGAGGTCGCTCTGCCTGTCGCCGACGAATCTCCAGTCATCATTATCGGCGTGACAACGTCGCAGCTCACGGAAAGTACTGTTCACGGAAAGGACTGTAATGCGGAAACGAAGAAAATATCGCTCACATCAGATGTATCGATCGAGGACAGGGTTGAGGGAGTGGACAGCGTTTAGGTTGGGAGGCTCGATATCCGCGCTTACGGGATGTGCGGTGGTGTCAAGGGACTGGGACATTCTAGGAGCCACATTGTACGCGCTAGAGAAGGACTTCTTTAGAATACAATCTAAGTGTCATTTGCCGGTTGAATCTACAAACATGCACGCAGTTGTTTTCTTTGGAGTTGGTGACTCCCGAAACAGTTCCATTATCGAATGTCGGCAGCTCCTCTCTCTGGCCATAAAAGTTTGTCTACATTCAGTCGCCAAATTCGGCCGCATCGCAGGTGTACGAACAAGTGCGAAACGCGGCGCATGTGGGAGCTTGATGGGTGTGTGTGAATTCTTGCTGTCGCTTGTGGCGGGGCCTGTCTCTCAAGCTGGAAAGGAAATGCCTTTCTGCCCTGCCTGAAACACCTCACGTTTTGTTCTGACCGGTTCGATCCTGATTGCAACCCTCGGACTCGTTTTGTGTGCGCTGCAGTACCGTTGCGGCTATGTCTCGAAAAAATGCGCAAATGAAATTGATAATTGAGAGGCATAATTATTCTGGTTGCAATGTTCTCAGGTCGCACAATTATTTAGCCACAAATTCCCCCAACCTTCGAAGCTGGTTCTCGCGGAAACGCGGCATCAAAGCTGATCCTGCAGCAGAATCTCCCCCCACTTACAGTACCTGCCCCACAACCCCGCCATCCAGACTCACTGTCGGAGAAAAACTGTAGCTCCCGCCAGGCCTGTGCATCTCAGGGGAAAACTCAGGGCGTGGTTCCAATCTCCCCTCCACCTCCCACAGCCACCACTCCCCCCCTCTTCCTCCCTCACCTCGCACTCGCCTCGCCTCGCTCGCTCCCAGCGCCTGCTGGCTTCCCCACAAGTTTCCCGCCATTCTACTGTACATGCTGCGAGTCTGCGACTTCAGTTCACAGTTCGGCCCTCTTCAAGAAACTCGTTCTTGACCTCGCTCCACACCACGCAGTGCTTCAGCTCTTGTGTCGACTCGAAAGCAGAATCGTTCTTGACCTCGCCGCTCCACGGGAACAGCTGCACAGCTCTCGAGTATAGTATGGTAGAGAGTAGTCGAGTATAGTAGAGATAAGTAAAACACCCAGAAGGACCACGCAGTGCTACTATTAGACCGCTAGACGCGCGTAATTGGACCGCCCGCCCTGCCAAGCTTGCGCGCACATCGTTCGTTTCGTGCGACGCGGAAGTTTCGAGAAGCATTCGCTGAGAAGGGACAGAAAGTCGCCCACCAATCGCGTGCTGCATATACGTTGAGACGTGAAGCAGAGCCAGCTAACACATACTCGCTGGAAAGGGGCAGAAAGTCGCCAACCAATCGCGTGCTTCACCGTGAGGAGTCGTTTTTTTAGGGGCCTAGTAATCGCGCGCTTCGCCGAACTGACAATCTCGCGAGCTACAAATAATACTGAAGCCCGCTGAGATAACACCTGAAAAAACACCTGAGGTCACACCTGAGAGATTATAATCTGCCCAGAGACCATGGGTACACGTAGGAGCAGCGTCCCCCGCGCACCCGCAATCCTCGCCCTCGCTACAATCACCCTCGCGCTGCTCGCCGCGTCGCCGCCGGCGTCCGCGGCGCGAATCACGCAGGTGTTTGCTT